TCTTGCAATGTCCCCATAAGGTAGGTACTATTATTACTATTATTATTATTATTATTATTATTATTATTATTATCATTATTATTATCGCCCTTGTTTTGTAGATAAGAAAACTAAAGCACAGGACAGTTAGGTAATCTTGCCAAGGTTACAAGGTAAACTGTGGATGAGCCGAGATTCAAGTCTAGGCAGTTTGGCTCCTGCGACACTCACATGCTAGCCGTAGTACCGCCACTGGGTGTCAGCATACCAAACTGAAGGGTTAACCCTTACTTTAGAGGAAGAAAAGGGAACAGCATTTACCGAGGGCCTTCCAAGTGCAAAACACTTATGCATGCATTTTCTAATTTAATCTAAGAGGTGAAAAAAAACTACAGGAACAGGATATGCAACATTTAGTGACGTGATTGATTTGCATCAGAGGAGCTTTTGTCCATATTTTTTAAATTAAAAAAATGGTAGTAGTAGAGTAGACTTGGAAGTTAAGAGGACCAGTCCCTAGATTCTTTATTAACCAAGGGCTCTTGCCAGCTCGTCACACCTGATCACACAAGGAAACCATTATCAGAAAGACTTCAGGGAAGCGACCATCAATGTACTTTCTCCCTCTGCAAAAATCAGAGACAAGCATTTGCTATAAAATTATCTGGATTTAATCACTATCAACATCAGAACCATACTACATTAAAGTACAAAACCTGTATGTACAATTACACATACAAAAATGTCCTTTGTGAGGAGCAATTTTCAGCAAACATGACAGACAGCAAGAGTCACTCCTATTTTGGGTTTGAAAGGAGAAATGGAAATTTCCAAGATGTCCCCATCCTCCCTCTGGCTCCAGTGACCCTCGAACATCAATTTGCAAAGGCCTGAGGTAGGAAGGGAGGCATTAACAATATCAGGCACTCATTTCCCCTCCCGTTATAGAAGGAATGAATTTTTAGGAAACATTCCCCATCATTTATTATACTGATGTTTCATCCATCTGCATCATTAGGTTCAGTAGTTACCATGACAATATGATGCCTACAGCAATCTAACTTGATAGCCAGATGCCAGAATGTGAAAAAATAGGACCGGCTAAGAAAGTGAGAGAAATATAATTAATCTGAACCACATAGAAAATGTGCACAAAACTAGGACCAAGAGGAAAACTGCTGAAATGTCACTGAGAGAATTAGGAAAGGCAGCAATAATCAAGTTTCAGTATGAAAACTTTGCTCACTAGAGCCATGTATCGGTCTGTAACTAAGACCAAGGAAGGAATCAAGGTTAGTCTAGAAGATTGTTCTGAGCCCCTGCCCTTCCCCCCATAACCTCCTGCTGTAGAGCCCAGGGATGTCATCCTTGATTCTAGCTGTGGGACTGGCGGGGCCCTAACTTTCCTGGGCATCTCAAGCCACCATTGTGAGTGCAGCTGCCAAGGCACTCTGCTCACTTAGTGTGCTCCTACACCCAGGTTTTCCATATGATGCAATAATTTCCATCATTCTGAAGCTAATCTTAAGGAGACTAGACTGAGCTGTGTCTTGGGAGATCCTGTCCCCTTGCCTCCTAAGTGCCCAGTGGAGGCAACAGGCCAGCACAAACCCCTTGAGGGCCTGAATATGCAGAGGGGCTGGGACACTGAGAAACAGAGGGCATTGTAAAAGTTGTACTCCTGGAAATGAGCCTGAGACGGTGGTCACTCTCAGTTACATCCACTGCAATCATGAAGCAGCTCAGAGTGCGACTTTCAACTCACACACCGAATATGTTCACTCTCAGCATGGCTGAGTGGGATAGCGGCGCTGAGTGAGGCGATTTGGCCGATTCAGGCTAGCAGCTGTGGACAGCTGGAAAGGAAGAACGAACAGGTGTGACTCTCCCAGGGCTAACTGGTTGGCCTGAGCCAGGACACCCTGAGCATCTGTCTAGAACACCTCAGCTGCAGTTGACTTCTCAGGGTTGCATTCTAATTATCCACCTTCACCCACCACCTTTGCTTCCTAAACATGGTGAAAAGAAATTCGAATTTATAAAGAGGGGAGGCCAAATGATACATGCTTAGCAGAGCTGAGTCTGCCCCAGGTCACTGAGCAAGCAGCAGGAAGCTTTGCTTCTCTCAAAGTTTGCAATGATCCCCTCACGCCCAGGACAGAGTGACAGTATACCCACACACCACTGATACCAACACCAACTGTGTCTCTCATGTCTCAAGGTCAAGAGCAATATTAATAATAGCTACATTGACTGAGCATTTTCTGGGTGCCAGGCCCTTCCCATCCATATCTGTGAGTTACCTACTACTAACCCCATTGTACAGATGCAAAAACTGAGACTTAGAGAGGTTAAATAATTGCTCAAGAATTCACATACAGTAAGTGGTAAACTGAGATTATAAACCCAGGTCTCCTTAACCAAAAACCTGTGCTCCTAATCCCTCCCCCTGAGGCTTCCTTACCTGAGGGAACTGAGATGGGTTGTAAAGAGGAACAGCCCCTTCCAGGGGAGGAGGAGAAAGCAGGACACCGGGGCTGGAGCAGAGCTCAGAGGAAATACCCTGTGATGGAAAATAATAGAAAATCCTATCAGTAGCCACTTCCCAGATTCCAGAATGTCGAGGGCTTTCCTGAGCATCGACTTTGGTTAAAAGAAGCAGATGGGAAGGGTTTATTGACAGAACTCAGGGAAACTCAAGCAAACAAATGGTTCAGGTGGACACAAGCAACCCTTGGGCCTGCAGCAGCAGTGCAGAGGCTCAGGTGCTATCACACCTGAAGCGAGCAGGAAGAAAAACCCACAATAAATTATATTGGCATCAACATAGAAAGTAATATCACATTCTTCAAAAGACCTAAAATACAAGAGTGCTCTACCCAGGCTTCAACAAGTAAAACTTTTCTCCCAGCAAAGACATGAAATCCATACTGATACGGACAACTCGTCAAGAATTCATCACAGCCTTTGCCAAGGTCTCTGGTGAACTCTGGCTTGTATTGGGACATGGAAAGAGGCTGTTCCCCAGACTCCACCTAAGGGAGCTGTTATGGGCTGAACTGTGTCCCCCACAAAAACAATTCATATGTTGAAGCCCGAACCCCCAGTACCGCAGAATGTGACTGTATTTGGAGACAAGGTCTTTAAAGGAGATAATCAAGATAGATGGAGGCCATTAGGGTGGGCCTTAGTCCAATATGACTGGTGTCCTCATAAGAGGAGGAAATTTAAACACAAACACACAAAGTAGGAAAAAGATGTAAAGATACAGGGAGAAGATGGTCATATGCAAGCCAGGGAGAGAGGCCTCAGAAGAAACCACCCTGCTGACACCTTGATCTCAGACTTCCACTCCAGAACTGTGAGAAAACAAATTTCTGTTGTTGAAGCTCCCCAGTCTGTGGCACTTTGTTATGACAGCCCAAGCAAACTAACGCAGAAGCTTTCTCCATATTCCCTGTGACTCAGCCCCTCACAGGGCAGCACTTCCAGCCCAGATGGAAGATCAGTCCTCACATGCACAAGCATCTGCCGGGGTCCTGGGCTCCAGCCCACGGATGGCTCACCTCAGGATCTGACACGCCTCCCATCCCAGCGTCCTCGGCCGTTCCCCCACTGGACACAGACCCTTGGACTTCACCCCCACCTATGAAGCAATGAGTCAGGGCTGTCTCCTCTGCTCAGGGCTGAGGAGTCCACACACCCAGAAGGCATCCCCACCCCTGGGGAGCTTCAAGAGGACCACAGATGGCCCAGAGGACGTGAAGTGGCAGTACCTGTGCCCCTGAAGAAGGTGCTAGCACCTGGCAGAGGTGGGGACTCGCAGGGACGTGCTGGTGAGAGGCCTGGGCTGGCCTGGGAGGGGGAAGATGCTCTCAGGGTCTCCTGCTTTGTGGAGAGAGGAAGGCAGCACTGGTGACGCTGGTTGTTAACACATTCATGCCAGCCTGCTTGTATTCCTGCGCCCACAACACTGGCCTCCACCTGCACCCTGCTGCTGTGGGGCTCTCCCCAAAACACCGTGTTCTTCGTGCCACTCCTCTGCTCAATGACCCAGATGAGCTCCCTGTTACTGGCCCCTGAAGTCAAAATTCTTCATGCTGACTTCTTTTTTTTTTTTTTTTTTTTTTTTGTCTTTTTTCGTGTCCGGCAATGGATTGCAACCCTCAGTGTCGCGCCCGTACCGGACCAGGACCGGTAACGGGATCGCAACCCTCGGTGTCACGCCCGCACCTCGCTCAGCCAGTGAGCAGGAACCGGTCTGTATGTGGGAAAGAAAAACCCACAATAAATTATATTGGCATCAACATAGAAAGTAATATCACATTCTTCAAAAGACCTAAAATACTACAAGAGTGCTCTACCCAGGCTTCAACAAGTAAAACTTTTCTCCCAGCAAAGACATGAAATCCATACTGATACGGACGACTCATCAAGAATTCATCACAGCCTTTGCCAAGGTCTCTGGTGAACTCTGGCTTGTATTGGGACATGGAAAGAGGCTGTTCCCCAGACTCCACCTAAGGGAGCTGTTATGGGCTGAACTGTGTCCCCCACAAAAACAATTCATATGTTGAAGCCCGAACCCCCAGTACCGCAGAATGTGACTGTATTTGGAGACAAGGTCTTTAAAGGAGATAATCAAGATAGATGGAGGCCATTAGGGTGGGCCTTAGTCCAATATGACTGGTGTCCTCATAAGAGGAGGAAATTTAAACACAAACACACAAAGTAGGAAAAAGATGTAAAGATACAGGGAGAAGATGGTCATATGCAAGCCAGGGAGAGAGGCCTCAGAAGAAACCACCCTGCTGACACCTTGATCTCAGACTTCCACTCCAGAACTGTGAGAAAACAAATTTCTGTTGTTGAAGCTCCCCAGTCTGTGGCACTTTGTTATGACAGCCCAAGCAAACTAACGCAGAAGCTTTCTCCATATTCCCTGTGACTCAGCCCCTCACAGGGCAGCACTTCCAGCCCAGATGGAAGATCAGTCCTCACATGCACAAGCATCTGCCGGGGTCCTGGGCTCCAGCCCACGGATGGCTCACCTCAGGATCTGACACGCCTCCCATCCCAGCGTCCTCGGCCGTTCCCCCACTGGACACAGACCCTTGGACTTCACCCCCACCTATGAAGCAATGAGTCAGGGCTGTCTCCTCTGCTCAGGGCTGAGGAGTCCACACACCCAGAAGGCATCCCCACCCCTGGGGAGCTTCAAGAGGACCACAGATGGCCCAGAGGACGTGAAGTGGCAGTACCTGTGCCCCTGAAGAAGGTGCTAGCACCTGGCAGAGGTGGGGACTCGCAGGGACGTGCTGGTGAGAGGCCTGGGCTGGCCTGGGAGGGGGAAGATGCTCTCAGGGTCTCCTGCTTTGTGGAGAGAGGAAGGCAGCACTGGTGACGCTGGTTGTTAACACATTCATGCCAGCCTGCTTGTATTCCTGCGCCCACAACACTGGCCTCCACCTGCACCCTGCTGCTGTGGGGCTCTCCCCAAAACACCGTGTTCTTCGTGCCACTCCTCTGCTCAATGACCCAGATGAGCTCCCTGTTACTGGCCCCTGAAGTCAAAATTCTTCATGCTGACTTCTTTTTTTTTTTTTTTTTTTTTTTTGTCTTTTTTCGTGTCCGGCAATGGATTGCAACCCTCAGTGTCGCGCCCGTACCGGACCAGGACCGGTAACGGGATCGCAACCCTCGGTGTCACGCCCGCACCTCGCTCAGCCAGTGAGCAGGAACCGGTCTGTATGTGGGAAAGAAAAACCCACAATAAATTATATTGGCATCAACATAGAAAGTAATATCACATTCTTCAAAAGACCTAAAATACTACAAGAGTGCTCTACCCAGGCTAGCTTCTTAAAGTGCCCTCATATACAGACATACGTATATATAATATTTGTATATGTACATATATACACATACATAGAAAAAATATTGGAAGGAAATAACCAAAATATTTTACTGTGGGATTACGAGTGATGTTTTTTGATTCTTTATTTGATGCTTTATTTTTAAATTTTTCTATAACAATAATGTACTACTTTTCTAGTCAGAAAAAAACACAGTAAGCCATACAAATTTTTTAAGACTTGTAGTCCCATTACCACTTCGAAAAGTGACGTGATGTAACCTTCCAACCAGGCGAAGCTGAAAGACTTTTAAGTTTGGGGCCAATACCACCCATTGCTGAGGAAGGGCTGCATTCAACCAATAGCCAGACAGAAGGATTAATTAGACACGGTCACTTCTAAGATCTTACAGCCTAAATGTGGAGAAAAAACATAAGCAGGTACTAGCTCAAGTATCATAGGTCCTTCTTTGAAATAAAGCAAGGTAAAAATTTAAATAAGGAAATAAATCACAAGAGTCTTCCATGACAGGGCAGGGTGTGGCGGGCCCCGTGGTGGTGTCATTGATACAGGTGGGTGGGACCGAGCATCAATAAGAACACAGCCTCCTCCCCCATGCACAGGATTTGGTATAGAAAGAAATGAGAAGAAACAAGGCTCGGTGTGGAAGAGAGAGCTGGTGCCGTGCTGGGAAGGGGTTTGCACGTGGCTGAGAAACCAGGGCCACAGGTAACAAGCAAAGGGTTAGAGTGGGCCTCGGCATCTTTTACACTTTGTCCTCTCACCTGTGGCTTGGAAATGACCTTTTGACCATCGGGATGCTGGAAGGTTTCTTGAGACATGGTGTTCTCTCCTGTAGCATAAAACAAAAACAAAAATAGTAGTTCGAAGCTGTGCTTCTCCCATCCATCCTGAAGGAGAGTAATGGGGTCACAGTGGCTTTCCTAACTGCAAAGCAGCTATAGCTCAGAGCCCATAACCTCGAGTAGATCATGGTGAATGCCAAGTCCACTTGCACTGCTCTCAATTCCAGCCCCAGGACACACTGTCAGCCCAACCTCGCCCCTGAACACCAAGGTCATTCCTTAGGAACCTTGGAAATCAGAGAGACATGCAGCTAGATCCCAGGGATCCTCTGCTACCTTCCCCTGCATTTGAGTCTCCATCTTGGGCAGGACCTTATCTTAGGAGGTCTAAGATCTAATCCTTCTCTGTGGTTTCCAGCACGTCCCTGGCATCACTCAGCATTGCTTACCCACATTCAGTCCCTATTGTCCAAGGTCCAAAGGGCCTAAAGAAACATGGGACCAGGACAGAAACACAGGCTTCTGCCACAGTCCCTGAGAGTAAGCCCTAGGGTGCAGGAAGACTGCAGGAAGAGGACATGGCCCACACCAAGGTGCATGTGAGACACGGGGCATTTTCTTCACTTCTCCACCCTGCAGTCTCTCCCCTAGAAACTCTGTACCCACAGGGAGGGCAAAAGAGACTGCCATTTGTCCTGCTATCCTTGTGCCAGTGGAGAGGCAAACTGGACCGGAAGAGAGCGATCTCCTTCGGATACATGTGGAACACGAGCACAGAGGGGCCTCAGTAATGAGCACAGCCCACCACTCATGTCTTTACCAGCTCCAAGCCCACTCCCACCAACTGGTCCCTGCACCCCCTTCACCTGCATCCTCCCCACCAAACCTCTGCACCCAAGGCATCCAGCCTAGCTGGCAGGTCTTACTTACCAGGGACTGGGGTTGTCTGCAGTGTTTCCTCCCAGACCTTTCCTCCAGGAGCCCCTGTCACTGCTATGCTGCCTCCAGTCCCTAAGAGGTGGGTCTCTGGAACTGAGTAAAGAGGCACTGGTGCCCCCGTCTGCCCTGCACCCCCTCCTGCTGGGTAGGGGCCCAGCTGGAGGAGAAAGGGCTGCTGCGGGCTGGGCTGGGTTGGGCCTGTCTGCTCAGTTGTTGGCCACAGGGCTGGGCCGTATCCAGGGGCTTCTGAGCAGCCTTGATGTCCCACAAGATCCTGGTAGGAAGTGTCTTCTAAAGACATAGGCAAAGAGAAAGAAGTGAGACCTGCAATGAGGCATTTGTCCAGACTAATCACACCAGAACATTCCTGCTCATGTCCTCTTTGGAAAGCAGTTCCAATGACAGCTGCTTGATGTGGCTTTGACAATGCGATGACAAAACAGAGTGATTGGAACACCTCCCATGGCTGTTTAGGGAATATTTCCCTCACTACCTTGTATGATCTCTGAGCCTTTAACCAGTGGGTCAGGAGGGCAGAAATTACCATCCCACCTAACTCAACACTTTTTTATTTTGGGAGAAACTCTCCTTTATGAATTTCCAAATGGACTTAGGTATTTGAAATTTAGAAAGCTTCCAGTTCAAATCCCAAATTTGGCCACAGAAATGACAGCTGTGTTTTTTTAAAGAATCAGAGTGCATTTGCCCAGGAAGGGACCTTGTGATGAGATTAAGATGCAGACGCACAAGACAATTGCCCAAGGGCCAGGACTGATGTGGGCGCTGAGCCACCTGTCCCATCCAGCCACAGACAACAGGGCTGCCAGGAGCAGACACGCAGCCTGGCTCTGTTCCACACCTCACCTTTACAGGTCAGCAGAAACCACGACCCGCCCTTCCTTCCCTGCCCTTGGCTCGTCCCTGAGCAGAGTGCAGAAGGCTGGCAAATGGCCGAAGGGAAGAGATGAGGGCCCCTGCCGACCCGACCAAGGGGTAACTGGAGGAAAGGGCGTGGAGTTAAAGATCTAATGCCTACCAACCTGCCATGCAGAAGCATCCTGAGGGAAGAGTAGGGATGGTGTGAAAACACTTTAGAACATATTTATTTCACAGTTACATGGCATTTGATAGCTCAA